TTTTATTGATTTATTTGATTTATTTGTTTACTTAGTTTGGTTTGTTGTTTGTTTTTTTATTGATTTATTTGACTTATTTGTTTACTTAGTTTGGTTTGTTGTTGTTTGTTGTTTTATTGATTTATTTGGTTTATTTGTTTAGTTAGTTTGGTTTGTTGTTGTTTGTTTTTTATTGATTTATTTGGTTTATTTGTTTACTTAGTTTGGTTTGTTGTTGTTTGTTTTTTATTGATTTATTTGATTTATTTGTTTAGTTAGTTTGGTTTGTTGTTGTTGTTTTTTTTTATTGATTTATTTGTTTACTTAGTTTGGTTTGTTGTTGTTTGTTTTTTTATTGATTTATTTGTTTACTTAGTTTGGTTTGTTGTTGTTTGTTTTTTTATTGATTTATTTGGATTATTTGTTTACTTAGTTTGGTTTGTTGTTGTTTGTTTTTTTATTGATTTATTTGATTTATTTGTTTAGTTAGTTTGGTTTGTTGTTTTTTTTTCGGTCGTTCGGTCTTTGGGTTTGAGTAGTTGTGAGTTTTGGTTTGTGATTGTTGATTTTCTTTTTTTTTTTTCTTTTCTTTTGCTGATTGTGTTTTAGTTTCTCTTTTTCACATTTCTCTCTCTCTCTCTCTCATCTCTCTCTCTTCTCTCTCTCTCTCTCTCTCCTCTCTCTCTCTCTCTCTCTCTCTCTCTCTCTCTCTCTCTCTCTCTCTCACTCATATCCGTGCATATGAAGTGCCAATATTCTAGAACCACATCGAATGTGTTTAATTAATTTCTTCGTCTTCTTTTCCTTCCTCTGACCTCCTTCTCTTTCTCCCTCCAATAATTCCTCCTAAAAATAGCATATCCTTTCGGTGAATTCACGTTTTGAAACACTGTAAAAGGATAAAGTGATCTGCAGGCGACTAATGGCACGTTTCGCTTATTTCGTCTAACGGTTTTAACGGTTTTTACTGGAAATAACCGTTTTAATCTTTCCGGCCGTGTGAGTTTCCTTTCAGCATTTTGAGAGAAAGGTATTCAAGTTGTGATGTTTGAGATGTTTTGGGGGAGTATTTAGCCGTAATATCAGCCGAAGGATTTTGAGTTTACCGAGGAAGAGGAGGAGGAGGAGAAGGAAGAAAATTGCCAAGGAGACGGAGGAAGAGAAGAAGAAAATCGAGTTTTTAGGACGTTAGACGGTATAGCTTCTCTCCTCTCTTTCTTTTACCTTTATCTTCATGTCTTCCTGTTTCCACTTACCTCTTCTCTGCATCCTAATCTCACAGAAAAGAAAGTATTTTTATTTGTAATTCTCATCTCGTTCATATTAAGCATCAAGGATAACGATTTACAAGGCCTATATATAACTAGAGTTTTCCAGGCAAAGGGATAAGCTCCAGAGAAGAGACAATTCTCCTTCCTCCCTCAAAAAAAATGGCGTCGGACTGTTCACGGGATCTTTTCACGAGAGTTTTCCGTTCGTTGGGGACTTTTTTATACATTTTTTTTTGTATGGAAGGATGTTATTAGGAGGGTAATCACGTTAGCAACACCAGTACCACCTGTTTCCCCCGTGGAGGCATGGCGTGGCTTTTTTTCTCGTCTGCGGGAGGATGCTACGTCTTGGGGTTTTGTGTGTGACGATAAAAGGAAGAGGAGAGAGAGAGAGAAGAGAGAAGAGAGAAGAAGAGAGAAGAGAGGAGGGGGTAGTCTGTGTTGCTTATATCTAACTCAACCATCAAAGAATGTGTACCAGAGCTCTCTCTCTCTCTCTCTCTCTCTCTCTCTCTCTCTCTCTCTCTCTCTCTCTCTCTCTCTCTCTCTCTCTCTCTCTCTTTGTATATCCACAAATATTTTGTTCCATATTTGCTCATTTTGGGTTTCTCCCTCTCTTTTTCACCCTACCTCTGTATCATCTTTCCACCTCTCCTTCTCTGTTTCTGCCATCGCCTCTCTTTGCCCCTATTCCCTTCAACCTTCATCCCTTACCCTCTACCCCCAACCAGTCTCCTACAGAAACCCTATCCCATCTATCCCTCCCTTACCCCCCCCCCCTCTCCTCGTCCTCCTCCAAAAAAAAAAAAAAAAAAAGGGAAAAAAGAGGGAAAAAGAAAAAAAAAGAAAAAAAGGGAAGAAAGAAACAAAAAGGGAAAAAAGAGGAGAGACCACCTCATCTTCCACAAGAATGGAAGTGGACAGCGAGGAGGCGTGTCAAGGGAAGAGGGAGCGAACGGCACCAGATTGCTCCAGGCGCGCGTCTGTGCCTCGGAATGATGATGAAGGCTTACGTGCGGTGGCCGTGTGTCGAGGACGAGGTTGGCGCGCTCTCGTGGGCTGTTTTGTGGACTGTCGAGGACGAGGTTGGCGCTCTCGTCCTGGGGCTGTTTTGTTGGACTCGAGGACGAGGTTGGCGGCGCTCTCGTCCTTGGGCTGTTTTGTAGGACTGTCGAGGACGAGGTTGGCGCTCTCGTCCTGGGGCTGTTTTGTAGGACTGTCGAGGACGAGGTTGGCGCTCTCGTCCTGGGGCAGTTTTGTTGGACTGTCGAGGACGAGGTTGGCGGCGCTCTCGTCCTTGGGCTGTTTTGTAGGAGCTGTTCGGGCGTGATCGAGGGATTGTTTTTACTCTTGTGTTTAGAGTCTGTGGTGTTTGTTGTTGGTGTGCGCGTGTGGCGTTGTTTTCGAGGTGGGAGAGTGTGGTTGTTCGTCCGAGATATGGGTTGTAGGTGTTTTTTCAAGCATATGTTGTGGTGGTGTGTCCTAGACATGTGTTGTAGTCCTTTGTCCAGACATGTTGTGATGGTTTGTCCTTGGGATGCGTTGTAGACCTTTATCCAAACATATGCTGTTTCCTGCCTGTGTGTTGCAATCCAGACATATGTTGTGATGGTGTCTCCCAGCTGTTTAATACGAGAATGTTCGACTGTGTTCTACCTATACGGACGTGTGCTGGGAAATGTGTCCAGACGCGTGATGTGGCGGCACCGTGTCCTGGGCCGTGTACTGCGGTGTTGGGGATAAGGCTCCCCCTGTGTCCCCTCGGCGTCCCCGGGATCTCGGCAGCTCTCCTTCGGGATTGGGGAAGGTCGGCGGCGGCGGGGGGGGGGGGATGGGGGCGGGTCGTGCGTTTATTGTCGGGGGCGGTTGGGTGGGTGGGGGGTGGGGGTTGTCTGCTGGTGCTGGCGTTGATGTTGTTGCCGTCGTCGTCGTCATCGTCGTCGTCATCGTCATCGTCGTCATCGTCATCATCATCATCATCATCATCATCATCATCTCATCATCATCATCATCATCATTATCATCATCATCAACCCCATTATAATTATCATTTTCAGTCATTATCATCACATTTGTCGTATTTTTTTGTAATTATATTTATTGTTAAGATTATAATGATGATCATCAGTGCTATATTTATCTACTCGTATTCTAATTATTATTAAACATATTAGTGTATTTTCTTTATCAAACGGCCTGGTGTTATGATATAAAAAATGCTCACTTAATATACTCGTTATTTATTAATGTATTTTCTTTATCAAACGGCCTGGTGTTATGATATAAAAAAAAAATATATACTCACTTAATATACTCGTTCTTTACCGCCACTTTTTCCTCGCCTACGAAATTGCAAACGAGCGAGGGAGCCTTGCACGATCGCCGCCCTACGGAAGTGGCGTTGCAGCTGCACCTCTGCAATGGGCCGTCCCGTTTTCATTAAGACGCAGCCGAGAACTCTCTCATCGGGAAAGTTAATTTGGGTCAACAGTTTCATCAGCTCGGTCGCTCCTCGCGCTCTCGTCTTCGTTTCTCAGCTCTTCCTTATTTGCTCTCTCGTCTTCCTGGCTCTCAGTGCTCTCATGCTCTCTTCCTTATTGCTCTCTCGTCTTCCTGTTTCTCATTTTCCTCTCCTCTTCTTCCTCTCTTCCTTATTGCTCTCCCTCTTCCTCTTTCTCTTTCTCTTTTCGTCTCCGTTTTCGGTTTTCTACTAGCTTTTTTTTTGTTTTCGCTCTCTCTGTTCTTTTCGCTTGCTTGCCAACCGTACGTCTATTTATATTTTTTTTTACTCCTTACCCTCTCCTTCTCCCTCTCCTATCCTCATCCTGTCTCACCTTCGCTCCTCCCTTCCCTCTCCTGCTCTCTCCCTCCTTCCAGCTCTTACCCTCTACTTCCCCTTCTCCTTTCTCTCTTCCTCCCTCTCTCTCTCCTTCACCCTCGCTTTCAGTTCCTTCTCCTTCCCTTTCAGTTCCTTCTCCCTCTTTTTCCGTTCCCTCCCTCCTTCTCCCTCTCATTACTTTCCACCCCCTCCTGCTTTCTTTAATCACTCTCACTTCGTTCCTCCTCTCTCCTTTCCTCCCTTTCACCCTTTTCCCCCTGCCCCTCGCCTCTCCCCTTCTCCTGAGAGGTCGTGGCAGCTGGGCGATGTTATTAGCCGGGTCCATAGAGCTATGCCGAATGCTGTGCCATGTCGGGATGCCGCTGCGGTTATGCTGGAGGTTGGGTGTCGGTCATTTGGCTGTGGGGAAGGTGGGGTGGGGTGGGAAGGTGGGGAGGGAGAGCTTAGAGGAAGGAGAGAAAGAGGGATGGGGGAAGGGATTGGCTGTGGGGGAGATGGGGGTGGGGTGGGGTGTGGGGGGAGAGCTTAGGGGAAGGAGAGAAAGAGGGATGGGGGAAGGGATTGGCTGGGTGGGGGAGGTGGGGAGGGAGAGTTAGAGGAAGGAGAGAAAGAGGGATGGGGAAGGGACAAGAGGAGAGGGAGGAGAGAATAACAGGAGAGGTAGAGGAAGGTGAAAAATGGAGGAGAGAGAGAGTGGGATGCAGAGAGAGAGAGAGAGAGGGAGAGGGAGATGACAAGCAAGAAAGATATTGAATAAAAAATAAGAATAAAAGGAAGTGAAGGGGGAAAATGAAAAAAAATAGAAATGGTGAGGGAGAAGTAGAGGGAGAACTAGTTAGTCAGAGACAGACGGACATACACTTCTACTCCTTAATTTTGTTAGATCTGAAGAGCTTGAATTATCCAAGTGACCACTCACCACTCCTTGCCTCCTCCTCCTCCTTCACCCACTCCTCCTGTGCCTCCTCCTCCTCCCCTCCCCCTCCTCCCTCCTCTCCTCCTCTCATCCCTCCCCACTTCATCCTCATCCCTCCCCACTCCTCCTCCTCCTCATCCTCCCCTCCTCCTGTCCTCTCCTCCTCTCCTCCTTCTTGTCCTTTACATAATACATGAGTCTTCTAACATGTCCTCCCCCCCTCTCTTACCTCCCCTTCCCCTCCCCTCCCCCTCCCCTCCTCATGCCTCTGGCCATGTTCCAGGACCCTCTCTGGAAGAAGGACACGAAGGAGGAGGGGGAGCAGCCGCCACGTCCAGCTGACTCTGCCGGCCATCCCGCAGTATGCACAATGAACACGCGCACACTCACGCACGCGCGCTTATTGTGATATATGCGCACATTCACGTACATATTTGCGTGCGATTATAGGTCATGTATGTGTACACATTCACGTTCATTTGCGCGCCGCGATTTGCGCGCGATTATAGGTCATGTATGTGTACACATTCCCGTTCATATTTGCGTGCGATTATAGGTCATGTATGTGTACACATTCACGTTCATATTTGCGCGCGATTATAGGTCATGTATGTGTACACATTCACGTTCATATTTGCGCGCGATTATAGGTCATGTATGTGTACACATTCCCGTTCATATTTGCGTGCGATTATAGGTCATGTATGTGTACACATTCACGTACATATTTGCGCGCGATTATAGGTCATGTATGTGTACATATTCACGTACATATTTGCGTGCGATTATAGGTCATGTATGTGTACACATTCCCGTTCATATTTGCGCGCGATTATAGGTCATATATGTGTACACATTCCCGTTCATATTTGCGCGCGATTATAGTTCATATATGTGTACACATTCACGTACATATTTGCGCGCGATTATAGGTCGTGTATGAGCACATATTCACGTACATATTTGCGTGCGATTATAGTTCATGTATGTGTACACATTCACGTTCATATTTGCGCGCGATTATAGGTCATATATGCGCATATATTCACGTACATATTTGCCGAACGATATGACATGGCTCAGGGTACAGGCGATGGTCGCAAAAACAACTAAAACAACATTTACAACGACAATTGCACTGGTTAACAACACAGTATTTATAACATCAGTCAAAAATGATATTGGCAGCACCAACAATGGCATTCACAAGAACAGCAGTTGAAACAATAGTTACAACACAACTCACACGAACAACAATTACGACAACGATAACAACAGCAACGACCACAGAATTACAACACCATTACTTGCAACATTTGCAACACAACCCACAAGAACAACAATTACAACAATAATAACAAAATTACAACACCATTACTTATAACGACGACACTTGCAACAACATTTATAACACAACCCGAACGAACAACAAGAACAACAACAACAGCAACGACCGCAAAGTTACAACACCATTACTGATAACGACGACACTTGCAACAACATTTATAACACAACCCGAACGAACAACAAGAACAACAACAACGACCACAAAGTTACAACACCATTACTTATAACGACGACACTTGCAACAACATTTACAACACAACCCACACGACCAACAATTAAAACAATAACAACAGCAACGAGCACAAAGTTACAACACCATTACTTATAACGACGACACTTAAAACATTTACAACACAACCCACAATAACAACAACAACGACCACAAAATTACAACACCATTACTTATAACGACGACACTTGCAACAACAAAGGGATAGGAGAGAGAATTCTGTTCCTCGGGGGACATGGCGGGCCGAGTGCAGGGTGGCTGTCCTTGGGTGTTCCTTGTCTTAAATTGGGATATTTAGGGTTAAGGATTGGGGTTATGGGATAGGGATAGGGGGCTTTAGGACAGGGACTGGGGTAGAGGATAGAGGGGATAAGGTTAGGGTTGGGGATAGATGTTTTAGGGGTAGGACAAGGGTTGGGACAAGTGTTGGGGATAGAGAGTTTAGGGCAGGAGAGAGGGTTAGGGTAGGAACTAGGGTTGGGAATTGGGGCTTTAGGACAGGGAACTGTGTTGGGGATAGAGGGTTTAGGGCAGGGTCTAGTGTTGGGATAAGGGCTCTAGGACAGGGGATAGGGTTAATGTAGGGACTACGGTTGGGGATAGGGACTCAAGGGTATGGATGTCCAGTCCACCTTTAGCAATTAGGGAAATTGGGATGATAAATAGAAGGCTGGATATTGTTTTGGTACATTTATTTTCGTCCAGGGAATGTAAGAAAATAATGGGAATTGACTGTTAATAGCTACCGAACTCATCGGAAAACAAAAAACAAAACAAAAACAAGATAATAAATCAAAAACAAAAACAGAAACAAGAAAACAAAACAAAAATAAGAAAACAACAAGAAAGCAAAACAAAACTAAGAAAACAAGAAAAAAACTAAGAAAACAAAAACAAGAAAAGAAAAAAAAAAAAGAAAACGGAAACACCTCGGACCGCCGCTCCACCCAACATGATCGCAGACTAAACCGTAATTTAGGATTTCTTGAGACACTTAAGAAATTGGATAAAAGCCTGCGAGGATTACCATCGGCGCCGAGACGGGGATTGAATAACATTCCGATAAAATAACAAGAGAGTATTGGATCCTGTTTTTTTTTTTTTTTTTTTTTTTTTTTAATCTTTTTTATTTATTTATTTATTCATTTCTTTTCTTTTATTTATTTATTTATCTTTTTTTTTTGTTAAGGCTGGGTGGGGGGTGGGGGAGGGAAAACTGGCTTTGTCTGTTTTTTTTTTTTTTTTTTTTCTTCTTTTTTTTTTTTTTTTTTTTTTTTTTTTTTTTTTGATAGAAGTGGATTTTCGTATATAGAAATCAAGGGAGATAGACAAATACACGCAACATACATTATACGCATCCCCAAGTATTATTCAGAACATATATGCAACATATAACACGCACACGCTAGATACAACGCATACATGCAACATAGAACACATACACACAACATACAACACACATACACGCACACGCAATACATATCCACACGCAAAACGACACACACTCACCCTCCCCCACCCTCCTCCCCTACAGACGCTGTCTCCTTCCTCCCCATGAACACCCCCACCTTCTCCCCTCCCCCTCCCCCTCCCCACCTCCTCCC